TATGAGGATCTTGGATTGACTGCTGCCTACATCAAAACACCATTAAGGTTCGTCCTTTGCAACAATTAGAATTATTAACCTATTTATAGTTAAACCGAACGCTTTGCCCTCAGCAAAGACACTTAACCAGAAGGAGCAAGTCTGAGCAGGGAATGTAAATGAACGTACAAGCCCTTTTTCGAAAAAAGGGTAAGCTCTATGCGCAGTCACTTTCATTGATACCGGATCTTTCCGTTTTGTTAGGCTCTCTAAAACAATTTAATCTTGCCTTGAAAGCTTATCTTTCATCTGAAAATCCGCAACTTTTGCGCGAACATCTGTGCGATCTTGAGAAACTAGTTACTCCAAACGCTACTATAAATAGCGAACAACTGTATGGAATTTCGTACCATCATGGAATTCGAAAGTAGGACTCGCGCCTACAAGGCAGTCGCCTATACTGCTGTCACCCTCTCGGTTCTTGCGGTGCTCTCGGTTTGTTTTATAGAATAGCCCAAACTTATTAAAATCAGGTTATATAGTTGCGTCTTTTAAGGTCTGTATAACAGTTCCGATGATCTACAGTTATGTGATGCATGTCCGAGACCAAATGCATTCTGAAATGGGCTTCTGCAGAGTATGCAGCAATTCAATTTTCGATTTGATACATTAAACTTTTTCTAACAAACAATTCAGAACCACGCGAAGGAAATCTGGCATGAGGTTGCACAACTAAAAAATGCACCTTCCAATCTTACTCGTGTAACGCGTCAATCTTACATTACTGGAGCAGGAGGTCAAGCATGCGAGCCATGCTGCCTTCCCGGACCTCCCGGTCCACCCGGAGCTGCTGGCAGACCTGGAAGGAACGGAATACCTGGAGCACCTGGATTGCCCGGTTTGAATGGTAAATCGGGAGGGGCAATATGCGAGCCTGTGACTCCACCACCGTGCAAGCCCTGCCCCACAGGACCTCCTGGAGCGCCCGGCGAAGACGGAGCACCAGGAGATGCTGGATCACCAGGACAAGCAGGACGTAATGGAAACGATGGGTAAGTCTGTCTAATCGATTTCTGTAAATTAACATAGTCTTTGCTTTTATTCTTTAAACAACAACGAGAGTATTTCAGCGTGCAAGGCGAGCCCGGACCAAAGGGACCACCTGGTGCACCGGGAGAACCCGGTCAGCAAGGACCACCTGGAGAACAGGGAACACCAGCCATTCCTGGCAACATGATTCCTGGCGAGCCTGGAGCACCCGGCGATCAAGGTCCACCAGGCCCATCAGGACCCCCCGGACAGCCTGGAGCTGATGGAATGCCAGGCAAGTGATCAGAAATTCTATAGATGCTGATCGACTCAATCCCTTCTTCAATGAAACTACCCTTCAGGTCATATTGGTCCCAAAGGTCCAAATGGTCCCGATGGCCCACCAGGCCCTGACGGTAAGCCCGGGCCTCAAGGTCCTCCAGGTACACCCGGAACCAGTGGAGAAAAAGGAATATGTCCCAAATATTGCGCCATCGACGGCGGCATCTTTTTCGAAGACGGAACAAGACGTTAAAAACAGTTGATGCCCTTTGTAAAGTGAATATTATTTTGTTTGGATACGCACTGAATTTCCAAGTTTTACTGTGCGTGTACAAGAACCACACGATGCAAAATAAACCACTTGAGAAAACTTTATTGCTATCAGTATTTAAATTATTGCCTTCAGAGTATTTGCTAAAAGCAGCAATGGATTAGTAAGAGATTACAATCTTTAAGGCAGTGTTTTTCAAATTGTCATCCTTTTTCGAGTCAGTGATGGCGTCGTACCCGGACAAATCTTCCGCGCTGGTCTCTATACATGGTGAGGACGACTTTCCGCAGACCTCTGTAAGTAGGCGCGATTGCCTAATGTAAAACATACATAAAATGAAGTTCGTCGATCGCCCGTGCCAAAGCACACCATGCGCTCTCAGTCTGAAGTAAGCTTACGCCAAATGAACCGCATCGTTTGACTTACGTTTTAAACTACTTTCCCCATATTATCCACAGTGTCTATTACCTTGTTCAGGAAAGATTTATAAGAATTCATACTTTTTAACCTATACAAATTCTGCTCTATCTACAGACAAGTGGAAATAGCCACAAATCACAATAAAAACTCTAGCGATAGCTCGAGATGTTTGAATGATTTTATAGACGACACGAAGCCAAAAAAATATACAAAAAACTTTCTTGAAAAGGCTTCATTATGGGAACAATTCAGTCAGCCTATATTCTTTAGGATGACGCGCGGTATGCAATGGCAGAAGCGAAAGCGTTGCACATTATTGAGAACTGTGTTGATCATTCCAACACACCATATCTTGAAATCATACAAAAGTGCAAGAGCTTTACATGATCGACTCAATACTTTTTGAAAAGCAAGCTCTGACGAGCTCCGGCAAACATCACATAAAATGGTAGGATTTCTTAAACTAGTAGGAGGGTCGTAGCAAAGTCTGGAAAAGTATGATTGTGGTAAGAGCTGGTAACGGGGTCTTCCGCTGCTCTTCAACGACATCCTGTTAGTTAGGAATTTTAAGATTTTTTCAAAAAAATACTCGTTTCGTAAACGTGGAGCAATTTGGGGAAGTGCATTTTGAGAACTTAGAGGAAATTCAAGACAAGGCTTCATTTTCATAGTCCAAAAGGTTTGCAAACAACAAGTTAGGACACATTTT